TTTGTTGACGACCTTTATGAACATGTCCTGGGGCATAGAGTAGAAGAAGTCTTTGACGTCAAATGGTACACCACGAGCTCCTGATGGAACCAAGTTCCTTAGAAAAACTGAAACCTCAAAGGGGCTCCTCATCAAGAAGGGGTGCTTCAACCGCAGCAAGTTGAAGTAACGATTCAGATGGCGTCCAAGGTGGCGTTACCACGTGCCACGCTCGGAAATTATTCCAATTTCGTACGCGGTGCTACACCCAATACTGCAATAAAATACGAACTACTCTGTAGAGGCACGCTTGTTCAGTAACATGTAATCACTTGCGTCTCTCATAATCATATAGTGGTTTTGGGACGTTAAACCCCACATATCAATCAAACATGTAATCACTTGGTCCGCTGCAAGCGAGTGAAAAGGTAGGGACGCAAAACTAAAAGGATGCGCATACGCACTCGCCACGTCAGATGGCACGGCGACGCAATTCATCTGAAGAGGCTTAAGCTTTATCTTAGTTTTATCAGATTGCCATCGCTACTCGCACGTCCCGATTTGTTTTGAAGACGGATGTACAACCAACAAGCCGAGCTGTCCATAGTTTTGCAATACCTTGATTGATTGATTGATTAATATGTGGGGTTTAACGTCCCAAAACCACCGTATGATTATGAGAGACGCCGTAGTGGAGGGCCCCGGAATTTTTTACCACCTGGGGTTCTTTAACACGCATCTGAATCTGAGCACACAAGCCTATAACATTTCTGCCTTTATCGGAAATGCAGCCGCCGCAGCCGGGATTCGATTCAGCGACCTGTGAATCAGCAGCCGAGTACCTTAGCCACTACACCACTTCGGCGGGGCAGTTTTGCAACAGCGTTGGCCAGTTTATTACAGGGACGACCGTCTATGTCTATTCGTAAAAGCGCTGGCAAGGAATACATTAAGAAAGCTTCTTTGACCTGAACAATACAAAAAAAAACAAAAAAAGAAACAGGAGGGGAGGAAAGAAACAGATTGACGCCAAAGTAACAACTGCTTTATTCTTCTGACAGCATCGCATATATATGCAAAAAACTACATACATTGCATGCGCACGCACAGCTTCGTATTGTATACGTACTAACAGATAAATTTCCATATTATATCACAACTCCTGAATGTGAACGCATAGTGTCATATTACACGCGTAAACACAATATTCTAACCAAGTTGTGCACGCAAAAATTCATATTCGATGACATGCAAAGAAACGAAGGTATTGCGACACAATCAGCGCCTCTTTTTTTTTTTTTTTCATTGTGAGATGCTTCCAAAGCAAGCCTTGCTTATTCATTCCTGCTTCTGCCTAGAATCAGCGTATCATGAAACCGCGGCGAACAGCCAATGCAGAAGTTCAAATGCGCAACAATATGTGCCCCTTTGTCTAATTTGTTTGCTATTTTTATGCACAAGTTCCCTAAGACGCTAATTTATGCATCTTCCCGTTTGCCTGATGCAGAACCGGCCCCGTACCAGAGATATGCTATATAACACACAGGTGTTGCAAGAAATAAAGCAGGCAACGTGTTTTATTTGGCACCCATTTTTGCTACTAGCGCAAGTGCTGGAGCACACCTTCGCGCGTTTGTTGGGCGCGGAAAACACCAAGGGCACCTCACGCCTGTTAGCAACTAAGTTCTTGAGTTGATGTGTGATCTTCTGTACAAAAAGCATTACAACAGGCCTGAACAGCTCACGTTCATAGGTTGCGTTCTTACTGTTTTTTTTTCTGAAGCAGGGCTTCAGAAAAGGAGAAGGTGATTGACATTTTAAAGGTTTTTATGCAACACGGACAAGAGCTCACTTTTATGCATGAGCTGCCCCAGAAGAGTGTTTTACAAGCTTTTGACCCGAGTGTAGGAGTACGTGACCGGCATGTGTGGGGGTCTTACAGTCCACGCGTACAAAAAGAGCTGTTACATTTTAAGTCAGCCCACTCGAAAGAGGTTAAAAGAGGAATAGTATAAACTTGTGTAAGTTCGACTCTCAAAAATTCGTGCGTACATAAAATGCAGGAGAGTTCTGAATATAAGAAAAATGGCAGCATATCCACGCAGTGAATGATGGAGAGCGGGGCTAAGCATCCGTCTGTCCATTCGTTCTTGCTTCCGTCCGTCCATGCGTGCGTCTGTGTGGCCGCCCGTGCGTCTATCCGCCCGTTCGTGCGTCCGCACGTCCATCTGTGCGTCCGTCCCTGCGTCGGTCCATGCATCCGCTTTTGCGTCCGTCCATGCGTCCATCCATCCGTGCAGCCATCCGTGCGTCCGTCCATGCATCTGTCTGTGTGTCCGTTCGTCCACCTATTCAACACACCAAGTACCACCATCTCGCATCCTTTCATCATATATTCCTCATATAGAAGCACTGCCATCCAGCGGACAGTCCAAGGACTGAACTACAGGAGGCACACGCACTCTTTCTTACGGCTTGCGCTTCATGTCTACTTCCCACCTTTAACCACCTCGAGTTCATGGTATATACTAGTTCACTGTATTCATGGCACTGCAGGCCCAACGCTCGCTAACCCTTTCTGAAATCAAGGAGGTTACGCCCAGCGAGTATAACGTAGCAACCCTTTCTTGTCAGATAGTGTTCAATGTACATGCCAATGGCTGCTAAGGGAGAATGAGAGACAGGAGAATTTGGCATTTAGTTAACGCGCACGCTGCGAATTTTTTTATTGTTCACCAATGCACAGAAGAAATCTCCCACTGGCACCACATTGGAGGTCAAAATGTAAGACTGGTTACACACTACTACTACTACTACTACTACTACTACTACTACTACTACTACTACTACTACTACTACTACTACTACTACGAGGGACGAATGGGTGCCGCTATCAGGAGTTTCGTCCCTAATATGCCGTGTATTGGATGCAGGTTGTCCTAAGACGCTCCTCACGGCCGTAGTTGAAGCCCTGCTTCAGAAAAAGAAAACCAGTAAGAACGCAACCTATGAACGTGAGCTGTTGATGCCTGTTGTAATGCTTTTTGTACAGAAGATCACACATCAACTCAAGAACTTAGTTGCTAACAGGCGTGGGGTGCCCTTGGTGTTTTCCGCGCCCAACAAACTCGCGAAGGTATGCTCCAGCACTTGCGCAAGTAGCAAAAATGGGTGCCAAATAAAACACGTTGCCTGCTTTATTTCTTGCAACACCTGTGTGTTATATAGCATGTCTGTGGTATGGGGCAGGTTCTGCATCAGGCAAATGGGAAGATGCATAAATGAGCGTCTTAGGGAACTTGTGCATAAAAATAGCAAACAAATTAGACAAAGACGCACATATTGTTGCGCATTTGAACTTCTGCATTGGCTGTTCGCCGCGGTTTCATGATACGCTGATTCTAGGCAGAAGCAGGAATGAATAAGCAAGGCTTGCTCTGGAAGCACCTCACAATAAAAAAAAAGAGGCGCTGATTGTGTCAGCGATGCCTTCGTTTCTTTGCATGTCATTGAATATGAATTTTTGCGTGCACGACTTGGTTAGGATACTGTGTTTACGCGTGTAATATAAAACTATGCGTTTACATTCAGGTGTTGTGAATATTATGGAAATTTATCTGTTAGTACGTATACAATACGAAGCTGTGCGCGCGCATGCATGCAATGCATGCGCTTTTGGAACTATATGCGATGCTGTAAGAAGAATAAACCAGTTGCTACTTCACGTCAATCTGTTTCTTTCTTCACCACCTTTTTTCTTATTTTCATTTTTCAGTATTGTTTGCGCCGAAAAAATCTTCTTATGGCGCTCTGTACCAACTATACCCAATGCAAGTTTACGGGCAAAATAGATTGATTGTTTTCTTCCCCCCTTTTTTATGGCGCTGTTCACTTGACACTACTCTGCCTCACTGTTTGCCTTAGAATTGTTCTTTCAATGTTTCATCACCAGGGGTATCCTTGAGTACTCGTACTTTGGAAACACTGTCTGTAAAACGTCTCCTGCATTTTGCGTATCATAAATTCGTAAAAAAAATTGCAATCCTGCTTGGTCAAAGTTCTTCCAAAAAAAAAACAAAAAAAAATCACAGCATATCCACGGAGTGAATGATGATGATGAGTGGAGGGAAGCGTTCGTCAGTCCGTCTATGCTTCCATTCATCCATTCGTTCTTGCTTCTATCTATGCGTCCGTCCATGCATCCATCTGTCCATGCGTGCGTCCGTCCATTTGTGCGTGTGGCCAGCCGTCCGTCCACCTGTCTGTCTATTTGCCTATCTGTCCATCCGTCTGTCCGTGCGTCTGTCTTTCTGTCCATCCGTTCGGCTGTCCGTGCGTCCATTCATCCGTTCGTCTCTGTTAGTCGTTCTTCCTGTCCATCCATCCATCCATCCATCCATCCATCCATCCATCCATCCATCCATCCATCCATCCATCCATCCATCCATCCATCCATCCATCCATCCATCCATCCATTCATCCATCCATCCATCCATCCATCCATCCATCCATCCATCCATCCATCCATCCATCCATCCATCCATCCATCCATCCATCCATCCATCCATCCATCCATCCATCCATCGGTTTGTTTGTCGGTCCATTCGTGCGCCCATCCGTCTATCTAGTGAACACTCCAAGTATCCTTATCTCGCATATTTTCATCATATATTCATGATATACAAGTACCACCATCTAGTGGACATTCTAAGGACTAAACGACAGGCGGCTACTAGTACGACGACGTCACGGGACGTACGACCCACGGCGTAAGGAGCTTCGCCCCTAAATGAAGTGATAGGCGTTTTTAATACGGATGCACATGAAGGTGCAGGTCGTCGACCTCGCGAGGTACCGTTTTTCGCTCCCGAGTGTCAACTCTTGGACAAGCCAGCTTGAGCTTCGGAAGCGAAATTTGAGCGCAAAGGAGCAGGCAGGCAGCGGCAACATTCCCCAGGCCGTCGCACGCAACTCTTGCGCAACCAAAATGACTCGGGCCCCTTCCCCGGCCGCCTCGCCTTTTCTCCTCGTAAAAAGACGGCAACGGAGAAGGGTTCAGGCTCGGGCCAAGTTCGGAGAACGGCGTTCACACGGTTTCGGCGTCTGGTGCCGCCACGATCCGCGCCCCGTCATTGAGGACTCATCGACTGCACATCACAGAAGGATATTGCAACGGAGTGAACGGACCACGTCGTGAGTTGCTGCTTCTTTATATTCTCTAGTGGCCGTCTGCACGGTACTCGTATACGAGAAGCGGTACACTTAGTAATGCCGTGGTGAGCAATGCGCTCGCCAGGCGAGAGGGATGCGCGGCCGCTGTCAGTGCTATTCGTGGATGCTGCAGGGCTGCGACTGAGCTTTTGTCGGGGTTTTGAGAGGGCCGGAGGCAGCCTGTGGCTCCCAAGGGTGGGGAGAACTGGTTCTCTCTAGAAAAATATCAGTTGGTCCCATCACATATCCGGCCCAGGAGAGAGCTATGGCGGGAGAATTAGGCGCAACCCAGTCGGTTCGAGCATTCCGGAGTCCATCTGCAGATTGGAGTGTGTGGTTCATGAAGGATATTACGGTTTTCCTAAGTTAAAACAACACAATCATCATCTTGTAAAAAGTTCTTATGGAGCGTTTAGGAAACAGTGACTCATGCGCTATACTTAGCCACGACATGCCCGTTGAAATAAACTTTAAAGAGAAAAAAAAATGCACACTGACAATCTGCTGGTGTCCGCTAGGAATCATTGTACTATAAACTCCTCGTCTTCAGACTGACGGTAGTAGCATTTTGTTGGTTTACATATTGGGACCTGAGACCTTTGCTCTCTGCAGCTCCCCTTGTACGTTTGCTTTGAGACACCGCATATAAGGTATCACTGCAAATATTACTGCTTTGTGAATATAAATCAAGTCAGAAGGAAGGTAATTCAGTTTTAGTTTTATTTCATTGAAGACGCCCATCGGTTGAGCATTAGTTGAACAACGGCATTCAAAAGAGTAGAAACAAGCAGCCATGAATTATTTATCATTGATAATTATCAGTGACACGTTCTTGGGTGATGGTGGCGATGTCACAGGATGGTCTGGAGCTGCTGTGCGGAATAATGAAGCCATACAAGGGGGAGAGGGGTGGTGCCATGGCGGGAGGGCAACTGCAATAGATGACTGGTGAACTATGATATGCGCGCTGTTTCTAGGATACATGATGCTTGAATGAAATAATAATAATAATAATAATAATAATAATAATAATAATAATAATAATAATAATAATAATAATAATAATAATAATAATAATAATAATAAAAAAGTTGCACTCCTACAACGCACGGGGTCGATATCGGTGGCAGCGTAGAGCCCTTGCATCATTCATGGTCAGACTACATAGCATATATTCACAATGCACTATATTTCGTATCAACGGACCATCAATGCATTGCGAGGAGCAAGACAATTAGACTATTGGACTCGTCTGTCGCGAGTACGCTTTGAGTTGGCGCGTATCACTCCGGCTTAAATCAGCAGGCGAGCCATGCCTGGAGCCATCCTCGCAGCCGTACTTAGTCGTCGTGTGTAGATTGGCTCCGCTCCGCTCGCCACGAACTTATTCTTGTGCGATGACATTCCGACAATATGGTAGCGTTTACGGAAGGAGCTTGGCTAGAGTGGTGTTGAAGCGGGAACATAGACCGGTGCTGGACGAGCGAGGAGCCGGAAACTAGCTCTGTATGTCCCGCCGTGACAGCGCACTAAGGCACACACATGTGGATAAACTGTTTTGTGTAGGCCGTTTGAAACTGCTCGATTTGTGCCAAAATATATGTTCTGAGACTTAGTAACGTAGTGTTTTGGGCGTGTCGGTACGTCACACTGTAGTTTTATAGTGCACAAAAAAAAACACGGGCAGAGACAGACGGGACAGGCGCTAACATTTAACAATGTTTCCTCCAGAAAAGGCAACTATATATATAGTTAACGTCGCTTTTGAATTATCGTGATCGCCCGCACTTTTCGAATTCATATATTTTTACGTAGATACGCTAATTTCTTGCACGAAAGGGTGATTGACGGTTTTGAAACACAGTTATCTCCCAGCCAATCAATCATTTCAGCCTCTATGATTTCACGGGTCCACTGACCTCTGCTCGTGCCGACCACTGAACACTCATGAAAAATCGCCATGCACATGGTGCGGACATCGTCACTTGCATTTCCACTTGATTTACTACAATGCCCGCAGTGGGCATCGAGGAAACCACCCCTTTTTTCTTTAACGTTGTACCGGTGTTTCTTTAAACGTTCATGACCCACATAATTCTTGCCACATTTCAACGGAAACTTGTACACAACTGCATTATTGCACTCTATAAACCTACTTTGATTCTTCGTTTGGCATTCCTGCTTGTCCGATGAGGCAAGCCTGGTTAGTCTACACAGACTGCATTTTTGTGGGAGCAGAAAACACTACCTTTACGTTCGCACCCTGTCCTTTTTATTAGTCGGTGGATATACGTTATGACGGAGACTGTTGTCGTAACAACTGGTGGCTGGCTGCCGGTAGTTTCTTTTTTTTTTGACGAGTTATACTTGAGAAGACCCTCCGCTACACTGTCAAGCACATGCGTAAGGTAACCCGCAGACCGAAGTCGACATATTTGTTCGTTGAAACTTTCGCTCGTGTGCTCAAGACAGGACTTGCGCAGGGCGCTGAGCAAGCAAGTCCTCGCTGTTCTCGTCTTCACGAACTTAGTGTGCCGACGGATACGGAAGCAGTGGTTTGTTGGCGTGAGGGTTGTACTTTAAATAGATGTCTTCGTCATACAATAAAAGCCTGATGTCCAGAACGCAAATACTGCTGTCAACCGGCAACTATTGTGTTAAACTAGAGGGATAAACCCTCCCGTCTGAAGAATAGAGCGTTAGTGGCTACAGAATTGAAAGAGTAGCTCCACTTGAAAAATTGGGATTAGAATTAAATGTGGCAGTAATTTTGTCGTTTGGCAGCATTAAATTCGGTTATAGCCACAGGGACGTCTGCTCTGCGGTATTTGAATACATAATTGAAACAAAGCGATTGCCATGTTAATCTGCCTATATATATATATATATATATATATATATATATATATATATATATATATATATATATATATATATATATATATATATATATATATATATATATATATATATATATATATATATATATATATATAGCTATGGGATATGGCACAACGGGAGCGTTGTCAACAAGGATAAATATATTTATTTCCCAACAGTTTCGGGAGGGGTCCTCCCTTCATCAGGGGATGAGTTATACTGACATGAGCTTCCAGACTTCGTTGCTGCCGCGTCCCTCTCGCCTTGAAAGATGTTTGCGAGAGTGAGAGGGAACAAGAAAAAGGAAAAAAAACAAAAAAGGGGGAGAAAAAAGACGAAAAAGAAAAAGAAAGAAAAGAAAGAAAGTAAAAAAGGGGAAGAACCACTGTCAACACTGAGAACGAAACCAACTGTCCGTGTCCGTCCACATACGGTTCATATCACGTGCTGTTCAGTTCTTGACGTGTGTCGGGCCACCCAAGATTGTCGCCGCGGTGCCGGGAGGGTCCGTGACGGCGTGCGTAAAGAAAGGGTTTTCCCGTAATGGGTTGGTCGGCGTGCGGCGTGCGTAAAGGAAGGGTTTCCCGTTAATGGGTCGGTCGGCTACTTACCTTTAATCTTCGTCCGTTTCCCTTCAATGGTCATCAAGTGGTAGGCGAACGTAAACACTTTGTATGTGCATGTGGAAAAAAGAAAAAAAAAGGAAGAAAAAAGAGAAAAAAAAGAAAAATAAAAGCAAAAACAAGAAAGGACAGTGTACACGTACGAGTCAGTCAGAAAAAAAGCATGGCCTCCAGCTATCAATCTGTGTCACCAATTTCCTCCTGGCTTACTTCTCGGAAGCAGTTGAGTTTTCCGGGGTCCTCGTTGATGCCGGCTACTAATGTTCGAAATTTGAAAATAAAATATGCCTCACGCTGTTCGCGCTCGCGTCTGTTTGAGAAACCGGACTGCAAAAGAGTTCCGCTGATATTTTCAAAACTGCGGTTTGGCAGGCGCAGATGTCTAGATAAAGGTAGCTTCGTCAGTGAAGTGGCGTTGTACCGGTGATTATTCAACCGCAGCCGAAATGGCGTGTCTGTTTGGCCGATATATTCTTGTCCGCAGATGTTGCAATGTAGCATGTATATTACGTTACTGGAGTCACAATTAAGGCTTTCAGTTATGCAGAATTTGAAATCCGAGAACCTCGCTTTGCATTCACGTGTTGTGATCATCTGTGGGCATACCTTGCATCGAGCTTTTCCGCAGGGATGACACCCTGATTGAAATTTGGGGGTGTTTGTTTTTGCTCTGACAAGAATGTCCTTCAGATTTTTATCCCGGCGGTACACCACGTGAGGTGGCTTCGCGAAAGTAGAAGTTAGTCGTTTGCTTTGCCTGATTATGTTGAAATTGGGGGAAAGTATGTTGTTGATTCGTGGCGCTGATGAGGAGTAAGTTAGTACAAGGTTTGTTTGGGAAGTCGTTTTAGATACTCTGTTTGGTCCCTTAATTATATCATTCCTGTTCACGTTGCGAGCACGTAGTATGGCATCGTCAATAATGTCTTCCGGATAATTTTGTTTCAATAAGGAATGCTTTAGGTGTTCCGCGTGTCTGTCAAACTCCCGCATATCGGTGCATATTCTTCGGTACCGGTAGGCCTGAGAATATGGAATACCCGTTTTGCAATGCTTTGGGTGGCTGCTGTTGAAATGTAGGTACATTTGACGGTCTGTAGGCTTTTTGTAAAGGTTTGTTGACAAGCGGTCATTTTCGACCGTGACAGTGACGTCCAAAAAGTTAATGCTAGTTTTGGAAATTTTGTGCGTGAATTTTATTGACGGGTGGCACTTGTTAAAATCTTCTATGAAGCGGAAAATACTTCGCTCATCATGGTTCCATATCATAAAAATATTGTCTAAGTATCTTCTGTAGTAGAAAGGTTTCAAGGTGCGTCCCTCAATGAATGGGATTTCAAGTGAAGCCATAAAGGTGCTCGCGAAGTTTGGGGCCATTTTCGTGCCCATTGCAGTGCCACTGACCTGAAGATAATGCTTGCCGTTGAACTATATATATATATATATATATATATATATATATATATATATATATATATA